ATTACTTTTCAAATCATTTGGCTTAAGTGATAATAATGAAATCAGACCCACAGGCCAACAAACCTCGACCTTATATATGATGACATGACAAGAGCTCGTAGACTTTCCTGGCAAAATAATGGAAATTAAGGTACCAGTCCAAGCTCCATCTTGCCAGAATGTACGAGATGGAGGTTTATTTGCCTTTGCAAAGGTACAGAGTAAAATCTGATTTGGTTCTATTTTGTCAAAAATTAATAAGTTATTTACAATAAAAAATCTTAAAAGTAACAATAAATAAGCTCAAATATTTGACTTTCTGGTAGAGCTGTTTTTGTAACGGCTACTATAAAAAATACGATTATACAACTAGAGATATGATAAGCCATATCTCTGGTACAAAAAATATACAAATTTTCAAATAAATAATAATAAATGAACCTTTAATTCATAGCAATTTCATATACTAACCAACACCAAATTCCATCCCCCCCCCCCCACACACACACACGCACATCTCTCTCCTCATCCTACTCAGGGTCAAATTAACTACTCATTTTATCTGATCTGAGTTTGAATGCTATTCATAAAAATAGTAAAGTTACCCCTCATTCCGATTTTTTTTTTTTTTCCTTAAAGATTGTGTTTTTTTTTCTTTTTGTATTTTTTAAGTACTTCCTATTTCTGACAATTTATCCTATAAGCAAGAACTAAATATGAAAAGAGAGAAATGTCCTCTAATATAAACTCGTAGAAATACGTCAATACATAGCCTCCGTTGCATAAAATAACCGGTTAATATTTAATAATAATTTAGTTAATAGTTAATTGTTTAGTTAATAGTTAATAATAGTTAACAGTTTAGTTCATGGTTAATAATAGTTAATAGTTTAGTTAATAGTTAATAGTTTAGTTAATAGTTAATAATTTAGTTAATAGTTAATAATAATTTAAATAACATTCTCCGGCACACCAGAACCTCTTTACATAACGCCCGCATTTCGAATCTGCCAAACTTTTCCCCATCCAAGAACAAATAATTGACATAAAATCCGCATAACACTCCCAATAACACAATTAATTGAATTTTCCAGCTTCTAAAAACAAATTATTTTATTCACATCGTCTGCTCCGGGACCCAATCAGCTGAGATCCGCCGCCGCCGATTTTAAAATTTTCGTCTTTTTACACTCAAATAAGACATTACTTACACTCCTTTCCACAAGGTCTATTGGAAACGTTCATATCAACAACTCACGCATAGTTAATTAGTGATTCTTTCCTTAGAAATGGGTTAATTTAGTCATAATTACCGTGATGTCCTCGCATGATACTGTGTTGGTCGCGGCCATGCTTGCGTTCGTCCCAATGCGGGAGATTTGCTGACTTCGGCTTCTACAAATAAAAATAAACTCTGATATTCATTGAATTTTATACATTATTCATTATCTTGGAAGTTTTATTTTGTGTATAATAGTATCTAAAGCTGTATACATGATGTTATATGATTTTTGAAAAGGCCTTTTGGATACTAGATTTGATGCCATTCAGGGATTGAGACGTACTGGGTCGCCTAGTAGCTAAAATGAATAATAAAAAAAGTTATGATTTTAACAATAAATTTAATTCGTATCGTAGAATAAATAAATAAAAAAATCGTAAGAGACATGAATACTATTCACCGTAGTTCTATTTAGCATAATTCTTTTGTTAGTTAGACAATTTGAGATAAAGAATATTCACTTTTTTCTGTACCGTATCAGTTAGCAAATTAGCATAAGTTATGGTGTTCAAAAGGAAAATTGATTATTTTATATGCTTATGGAACGTTATATTACGAAGAGCAACGACAGATTACTACAATCGATACATAACAACCCTGATCAAAACTTATGTAACCCATATTTTCATTTCTTCCTCATCTTTTACTTGACTTGCAAAATCAAATCCTAGTACGAAAAAGAGAATAACCCGTACTAACAATAAATAAATAAATAAATAAAAGTCTACATAAAACACACAAATGTATAATTTCTTTGGAAAACTTCTACATTCCTAAATTGCTGCATATTAATGCAAAACATTCGAAAATAAGAGGTTAACTTCTTGAACTAAAAGGCAAATGTTAAGTTATTGATGACTGACTTGGACAGGAAAAATCGTTATACCGTTATAACAATGAAGGTATTATGTAACAGCTTCAGTATAAGACAAGTTATCTGTGACAATAAGCGCAAAAAATATCACTGGAGACTACTGAATAAACTGTCTAAAAGAAGAAAAAACTCCATTGCTTTTTCATATTCAGCATGCAGACTGTCATGTTTTTTCTTCTCTCTCTCTTCCTTTGTTGTTTAATCCAAGAAGGTATGATATTTGGATTTTCTAGATTCACATTAGCTTATAAGTACAACTACCTGATATATATAACACACAAACCCGAAATTTAAAAAGAAGGGAACGAACAAATGAAATGCAGAAATCGGCGAAGCAAAGTTCGTTGTCTCAGATACTGTAAAATCAGGAAAAACGTTGAACTTTACAATCAAAGAAAAAGAACAGTTCATGCCCAACGCGCACACAATTATAAAAGGAAACAACCTCAGTAAGCTTTGAAAATTACTGTGACGTTTCGAACTCGCCAAGATTTCTTTTATCAGACAAACAAATAATCATAATGGCTCAATGTTGCTTATTTATTCGTCTCAATGATGAGTTCGAAACACCACGCTCATTCTAAATTTTTACTGGCTGTGTTTTATATTATGCATTAAGATATTACACAGGCTTTTTCCAAGTCATGCACACTGCTTATATTAAGTCAGATACTCTCTCTCTCTCTCTCTCTCTCTCTCTCTCTCTCTCTCTCTCTCTCTCTCTCTCTCTCTCTCTCTCTCTCTCTCTCTCTCTCTCAGGAAGTCCAAGCTGGATCAAAGTTCCCGAATGGGTGTGTGGAGACAGCAAGATCCATGTCAGTGGTCCCGGGAGAAGGAGCGGTAATACAGGTATGCGGGTAGTTGGAGGTCGTGATCCTGAAGGAGCCTTGACCTGTCTCAAATATAAATAACCAAAGTGAAGCAACGAACAAGAATTAAATAATTCAATATGAATCAGTGAAATGAGAAAATAAACATGAATCAGTAAGCCTGTATTCTATACCCTAGCGCGGCCATCTTGCTAGAAACGACCTGTAAACGTGTTACATTTTCTTGCACGCTGTTTTATTTTCTAATGAAGTGACAAGCTTGGTAAGGTACGAGTTGCAAGCCACTAAATTCAAAGTCTATATAAGTACTACATATAGATCTTGACTAAGTCTACGCTCCCGAATACGAACTGATGGAACACGGGAAATAATTTTACACACTTTAATAAATTTTGGTCTTGAATCACGGCTGGGTCTTTTCTTTTCAGTTTTTATTAATGGTGATATCACCATTAGAAATTATTAAAATACCGGTATTTAGAATGAAGATAATTTTAATGATAATGCTAAATGCTTTTAATCTGTTACAGGTATTTTTCTACATTTTCTAAGTCTACAGTCATGGGCTCTAGGCAACGTTTATGCACTTTTTTTCCGAATAAAGGCTAAAGACCGAGTGACACACTTCACACCTCTACCCCCATCAGCTGCACTCCTATTAAAAGTTCCTCTTAGAACGGACGCAGGTGTCTGCTTTCACTACTGACACTTCTGCGGCGGAAACAAGCACCTGTCCTCGAAGGGAACCGCTGCATAAAACGACACGTTTTATCAGGACAGAACGTTAGTGAGAGACTTCAGACTGACGACGAAACACGGGTCTCGCTCGCCACCACTCGGTCCTCGGCACCCGGGGAGAGACGGGGGTTTCTTGGGGTCTCACGTCTACCATCCATAATAAATCTACAAGTCAAGACCCCTTTCATCACCCGAACTAAGTCCATCTCATGTGTCGTTGACATATTTACATACAATACACACAGAGACACACAAACACACACACACACACGCACGCACGCACAGACATACAAACACACACACACATGCACACACACACACACACACACACACACACACACACACACACACACACACACACACACACACACACACACATATAAACACACACACACACACACACACACAAACACATAAACACACATAAACATACACGTGTGTGTTTGTGAGAATCTTATACAAAACTGGAATGTCATCGTTTTTCTTAAACCGGGCACATTCATTTATATTCATATCTATATTTACAGGTATATCTGTCTATTAACTACATATTATTTATTTAACTATCTGTATATCTATATGCGCCACACGCACACGCACACGCACACACACACACACAAACACACACACACACACACACACACACACACACACAGATATATATATATATATATATATATATATATATATATATATATATATATATATATATATATATATATACTTATAATGCTGGGCATTCATATACATACATACATTCATATATACATATATATATATATATATATATATATATATATATATATATATATATATATACTTATAATGCTGGGCATTCATATACATACATACATTCATATATATATATATATATATATATATATATATATATATATATATACATTTATATATATGAATGTATATATGTATATGAATATCCAGCATTATAAGAAAAAGATCTCTCGCTCCCAAACAGAATACACGAAAATATTACATTTCCTCAACTCCCTACCCCAAAAAAGTTACTCCCTTCCCTCCCCCCCCCAAAAAAGTTACACTTCCTCAACCTCGCCAAAAAAAAGTTACATTTTCTCAACTTCTTTCCCCCCTAAAAAGTTACATTTCCCTCCCTCCCTTCCTCCTAAATGTTACATTTCCCCAACTCCCTTCCCCTCCAAAAGTTACATTTCCCCAACACCCTTCCCTCTCCCCCCCCCCAAAAAAAAAGTTACATTTCCCCAACTCCCTTCCCTCCCTCCCCCCCAAAAAAAAAGTTCCATTTCCCCTACTCAGTCTCCAAAAACAGTTACAATCCCCCAACTCCCCCCCTCCCCCCCCAAAAACCTACAATTCCTTTCCCTCCCCCTCCCCCCACACACCCCAAAAAAAGGACCCCCCTCCCCAACGGCCTCGCCAATGTAGGTCGCGCCTCGGCTGCCCCGGCGCTGGCGGCGTAAGCGACCCGCGAACCAAAACAAGAAGTCGAGTCGTGACGAAAACCTCCTTGCCTTGCTGTGATGAAGATTGCGTGAAGGGGTTTCTCTTTTGAAGGTTTTATTCCTCTTGTTTTTTATTCCTCTTGCGTGTTCTTGTAGGTTTAGCTTTTCAGGGGGTTTTGGAGGGTTTTACTATGTGGTTTGGGGGGGAAATTTTAAAGTTGGAAGTTAAGAAAAAAAAAAAAATCTTGGGAGGGTTAGAGTGAAGGTTTTTTAGGGAAGGACGATTGGTTGGAAGCATTTTTTTTTTAATGATACCGGTCTAGTTGCAGTAAAAGAGCAAATTCAGTTTTTTTTTCCCCACAAAAAAACAAACTTCTTATCAGTAAAGGAACCTATACAATCTCAATGTATGAAAAATATCTGATGAAGGATTGTCTTTGTCTGTAATATATCATAAAGATTTTGGTTCATTCAGTTAATGTTACCTAAAGTGATGCACAAAGATAGAGGGAAATTGACACTGCCATCTTGTAGAGCATAAGAAATAGAGTAATAAACAGGTACAGCTGCGGCATCCTCCTGTTTACCACGAAATGACGGAAATATCCGCTGCATATCACCGCTCAGTGACTATGCGCTTAAACAGCCAGAGTTCTTAATGTAGCGTTTTTTGTAAGTTGGCATGAGGTACTAATAAAGAGGGGAGGGACACAGGGGGCTTGTTACCCAGCCTAGAGAATGAATAGAAGGTAAGATTTGGATTTTGGGGGTCACATGATAGCCTGGTTTTGTGACTCTGGAAGGGTGCGTTGCTCTCAGTAACAAATACTGTTCTTTAACCCATTCGCGCCGGGTAAAAATGAACAAAAAATGGGGGAAAATGCTGTGCTCATTTTTTATACATTTTGTGAACTGTATCTACACAACATGGCTCTGCCTTACCTGATTTCATTTGGCGGGAAAATGTATTTATTACTAGTACTATGAATATCGATGGTTATTTTTATTATAAACATTATAATTACTATAATGTTATGAACATTAGTAACAGCAAAATAAGATAATGTATAATATTTTCGTAAATTAAAGAAAAGGGTAAACGGGCGACACAGGCAGTACAAGTACAAGTGCAGCCATCTGTGTGTGAAAACAATTAAACAAGTAAACTCACAGTGGGCCCGTCACATATACGTGACACCCGGCGTGAATGGGTTAAGTAATGTTTATGGATTACCA